CATTCACTTTTCACATAATCTTTCATTATAAATGAATTTTATGGATTCATCTACACATCCTACACTGCTAATTGTATGGATCCATCAACTCCCCATACTACACCACTGATTGTATGAATTCATCAACAGATCCTACCCCACTGTATGGATTCATCAACTCCACATCCTACACCACAGATTATTAAACTACAATAAGGCCTCCCCCGTCTACTTTTACTTTTAAAAATTTTCTGGGTTTATGAATAACACATTATGCAATGTTTTTTGCCCTTGCTGCATTGTTTCTACTCTGGTAGTACAGTGATTACTGCAGTCAGCTCACAACCGATTGAACCCAAGGCTAATTTATGGGTAGTGCGAGGCACTTGTGTACGATACCTTACACCTGATGCCTCTGTTCATCTAGCAGTAAACAGGTAACTGGGAGTTAAGTAACTGTTGTGGGTTGTATCCCTGGGCAAGGTCAGTAGCAGTATGGAGAACTTGCACCTCATGCCTCAATAAGCCTAACAAGTTTCCAGACAAAGGGAAATCATATTTTGGGGAAAATTTCAAGATATTCTGCTTATATTTGACAATTTGATCATAGAGAATTACTACAAAACGAATAAGCTGCTAAGTTCATGAGGTAGTAGATGATATGTATTTTAGTTGCTTTTATAAACAATAAGTTTTCAGAAAAACAGACAATGTGCACAGATCAACACAAAATACAATTTTTCTTATAAAAGTAAAGAAAAAACAAATACAATGCAGTCACTCACCCAGTAGCCACACTATATGCAAGGGTAACACAAATTAAGCATTGATTCAATGTTGAATTAACATAACACTTGGATATTGTGCTGCCTGGCCAAACCTTAATCTCTAAAATTCACCTTGTCAGTGTTTACATTTATAGACAATCTCGTGACATCAAGCAGAGTCTTTTTGTGCAACATCTTGTGCAATAACTTTTGTCACTAACCATCCATACATATTGAATGTATCATTGTGTTCCCTTATCATCATCTGGGTACTGCCTGCTACTCACAAATGTACAAGGAATATGGGGCCACCTTTCACGAGCTTCCAGCTTTTTGTCCCTGTCAAGACCACTAGAGACTTGGTGGCTCTTAGGTAAATTCAGGTAAAGTACAGCTGAGCTTTCACCTCACTGACAAACATCTTGACTTCCACCCACTGACACATCTTGACTACCACCCACTCTTGCTACCCACTGACATACATCTTGGCTACCACTCACTGACATGCATCTTGGCTGCCACCCACTCTTGCTACCTCCTGACATACATCTTGGCTGCCACCCACTCTTGCTACCTCCTGACATACATCTTGGCTGCCACCCTCTCTTGCTACCTCCTGACATACATCTTGGCTGCCACCCACTCTTGCTACCTCCTGACATACATCTTGGCTGCCACCCACTTTTGCTACCTCCTGACATACATCTTGGCTGCCACCCACTTTTTTGCTACCCACTGACATACATCTTGGCTGCCACCCACTCACATACATCTTGACTTCCACCCACGAACACACATGCCTTCCAACCACTTATTCTGGATTCAACTCAGTACCTCTGACCTGTAGCATAGAGTTTAATACAAATTTTTCACAACTGACTGCACCCAAGTTCAATTCCAAGTTAGGTTGAAATGATTGGAGATGTTTCCTTTCACCTGATGGCCTGTTCACCTAGCAGTAAATAAGTATTTAGGAATTACTCAATTATTGTGGGGTGTATCCAGGGAGATGATGATTATTGGCCAATGGCCGTTGACCTCAATAATCCTAATATGATTACCATTCTCCCTGACAATGGTGACTATATTTTGGTGTTTGTATATTACTTACAGACATACATTTTGGCTTAAAGAAAATACCCAACAACACAGTTTGTCCCCATCCTTCCCCCAGAAACATATATTTTAGCATCCAACCACTACACACTGACCTTTTTCTTAATCCAGTCTTTGCTCACCCTCAATATTGTATAATTTAATCTAATCTATGCAGTATTCTTGGAAACACCCCAGAGTTATGAGATCACTGGTCATATTAGGCCACAAATAAAGTACTTTAGTTTACAATTTACTATTCACGAACACCATCCCTACTACAGTGTGAACATTCCAAAACTTGAACAGCATATTTACTTTATGAATTCCTCTAGAGCTTTGTATGTAAACACCTATGTTGGTCTTTGTTATATTAGCTTTTCGAGGCCCGACTTCCACATACTATATATACAGTATTCATAAACAAGCAAAGCATAAAAAAGCAGACAGTGAATTTTGGAATTTGCTGTACTAGCTACATATGCTATAGGAGCTACAGACGCTGCAGGAGCTACAGACGCTGCAGGAGCTACAGACACTGCAGGAGCTACAGACGCTGCAGGAGCTACAGACGCTGCAGGAGCTACAGACACTGCAGGAGCTACAGACACTGCAGGAGCTACAGACACTGCAGGAGCTACAGACGCTGCAGGAGCTACAGACGCTGCAGGAGCTACAGACGCTGCAGGAGCTACAGACGCTGCAGGAGCTACAGACGCTGCAGGAGCTACAGACGCTGCAGGAGCTACAGACGCTGCAGGAGCTACAGACGCTGCAGGAGCTACAGACGCTGCAGGAGCTACAGACGCTGCAGGAGCTACAGACACTGCAGGAGCTACAGACGCTGCAGGAGCTACAGACACTGCAGGAGCTACAGACGCTGCAGGAGCTACAGACACTGCAGGAGCTACAGACACTGCAGGAGCTACAGACACTGCAGGAGCTACAGACACTGCAGAGCTACAGCTACAGACACTGCAGGAGCTACAGATGCTGCAGGAGCTACAGACACTGCAGGAGCTACAGACACTGCAGGAGCTACAGACACTGCAGGAGCTACAGACGCTGCTACAGACGCTGAGCTACAGACACTGCAGGAGCTACAGACACTGCAGGAGCTACAGCTACAGACGCTGCAGGAGCAGACACTGCAGGAGCTACAGACGCTGCAGGAGCTACAGACGCTGCAGGAGCTACAGACACTGCAGGGGCTACAGACACTGCAGCTACAGACACTGCAGGAGCTACAGACGCTGCAGGAGCTACAGACGCTGCAGGAGCTACACTGCAGGAGACGCTGCAGGAGCTACAGACAGGAGCTACAGACACTGCAGGAGCTACAGACAGACACTGCAGGAGCTACAGACGCTGCAGGAGCTACAGACGCTGCAGGAGCTACAGACGATGCAGGAAAGTTAAAAATTGTAATGCAGATACTTAGATAATATTACGTTATCATTAGTACTGCATTAGTATGATGAGCGTTAAACTATTATGACCATTATTTTCACTCCAACTTGCATAAGGAAAGGATTCTGATTATAGTTCTGACATTATTAAAGAGATTACTGACTACAAAATACTGTATACCTATTAAGATATGAATGATGACAAAAATGCTTATATAGATACATATTTCATAACAAATATTTATCACATTTCTCTCTAATGTACACCCGACAGGAATTCTCCCAATATTTTCCTCAAAACATCACTAAAATATACCTGTCTGCTGAAATTTTTAATAACTTTGTTAAAATATTAATTCATAAAGTCTTCTCGATATTGATTCTAATCGTTACAAAATATATCACTCTAGCCATATACATGAACTTCTCTTATGTATATATAGTATGAACTATGACTTTGGTATAACATCCTGCCTTCTGTAGTTATGTCTTTGTCTTCACTAAAACTGGTGAATATGTAGCTCAATTGAGAATTCAATCCTATAAGAATTCTATCCTGTGTATGAGAACTCTCTCATGTAACATTCAATACTGCATCAATAACAATTCCTAATACAAAAAGAGAGTTGCATACCACTGGGGACAAAAACAGTCACAGATTAGTTTATTCTGTGATCAACGACACTGTACACAACTTCACCCAAGATGATACATATGATTAATAATGTTTTAAATTATATACACAATAAAAGCCAAAACTAAATTATATATAATAATAGGCTTTTTTTAAATTATATATTGATTATAATTTTAACAATACTTAATGATTATTTCCAAGATATGAACTATAAAATTTGTTAAACATGAATTTGAATATGAGAAAGTCATCACAATCATGATATTTCCAGTTAATAAAACTCTTTTTACTCAATAAATCTTTTTTCTGACAACAATAATTGACATACCTGGAACTGCCCTTGTGTACCCCCGCTGGCAGCTTTGGCAGGGAGTCAGCTTCTCCAACAATAGATTTTTCACTTAAATTACCTTCAGATCTTGAGTCATACAAGTTACAGCCACAATCTTGCAGCAAACCAAGATTGTCAAGCTTACAATTACTGGTAATTGTTATTTCTGGGCATTGTTCATTAATGTTGCGTAGGAAACATTTGTGACGATCACTGGAGCAGTGTATTCTACTGCTCTTATTACAATGTCTTCCAAAGTTACTTGTTAATAAACATTTTCCACTGTCTAATGAATATTCTTTATTATATCTATCTATCAAATGTTCTCCAAGATCAATATCTAAGGAATACTGTAGATAACTAGGGTATGTGGTCTTGAAACACCTCCCTACACTATTGTCTACGTAATGCTTACACATGTCATTAACTGGGAAACCGTCTCTACCTTCATCAGTGACAAGCCTTCCTTCAATACTTCTAAGGGGAAACCATTCTCTAGTGTTACAGGCCAAAAAACATTTCCTAACACCACTATCAAGACAATGCTCTCGTGCAGAGTTGGGTTGGTATCTTGTGTCTATATTACTGCAGCTGTGACAGGATGATGGAAGACCTTCAGAACACATGTTATTTAAATGGATCTTATTATAACTATTAGTACTCAATAATAGATCTTCCTTAACAGGCATACTGGGAAAATGTTCCCTCTCACTAGTCTGAGTTACAAAGGAATATGAACTTGAAATGCCATGTTGTTGCTGTGATGCAAGTTTAAATTGGTTTGCTGCCCCAGAATCAGCACCATTTACATTGGATCCACAGCAATATTCATGGACGTCCCAGGCCGAGCAAGTTCCTCTTGGGGCTTGTTCCTGAGCTTGTCTCATCATCGCCAAAGAGCCGACGGAAACTGGAATGAGAAAAACTTACATTGGTATCACACAGCATATTAATAGGAATAGTAAAGTGTAAGTGAGAAAGTTTTGGGATACAATAGGTGAACATAAAAACAAGAAAGTTCTGGGATGCATAGAGCAATAATAGCCAACAATAAGGAAAGCTACTGAACAGACTCCTGGAAATGGCCCAAAATGACTTGCCTGCAAGAACAATGAAGCTCTGCCCATAGCCAGAGCAGAATCCACATCTAAAGCCACAAAGTTAGACTGTAATTGCACTGTGTAATTGCACTTGAACGAAAGCTAGTGGTGTGTTAGAAACCTGAATGTGAAGATGCCACAAGCCCATATTACAGGATAAGGCAGAAGCAGATAATGTCCAATTAACAAAATCAAAAGAAGTCCATAAAAGGCAACTATTAAACAATAGACAAACTTCTTTCCACTCCAAAACCTGAGAATGGTAAAAAAAAAAGGCAGCATTGAATGTAATGAAACGACAGTTTCTGAGTGAGCCCAAGCAAGCAGTACCTGAAACCAAGGCTGTGCCGGCCACCATGGAGCCAGGAGAACTCTATTACAGTAGGATTCCAACCGAGTCAGAAGCCAGAGCAACAGCTGGACTGGGAGGAAGAGGTACAGGATCCCTCCCACTGTGACCAGTCCTGCTGAAAAGCATCCACTGCGTGAATCTCACAGTCAGGGAACAGCGCTACAAACAATGGGAGACGCCGAGGAGAAGAGTTCTGGGATGTTCTGGGAACTCCACAGCAAAGACAGCCACCAATGCCCATGACCGGACTGGTGTGTACTGGTCACAAAGCCCCAGCCAAGAGACGAGGCATTCATGAACACATTGAATGAGGGAGGAGTAAGGCGCCATGGCAACGAACCCTGAAACCTGAAGAGAAAGCCTGTGACGTAGCAACCGGCACAGGGACACCGAGGGCTGAACCAAGCGATCGCGAGAGCAGCAGGAAAGAGGCCTCCCCGAAGATATCAGAACAGCCTCCGAAGCCAAAGCCTGCCCAGTGAATACACCAGAAGAGCAAAGTTCAGGCTTCTGCACAGCTGCACGAACAATCCCCAACCCGTTCTCACACAAGACAGCACATATATGACTTAATGCTTAAAGTCAATATGTTGAATATGAATTAGTAAATATGTGATATATTCCCAGTTACTTTTTTTACCAAGGCCCAAACTCTTCCTCACGTACCAATTTACGTGTCACAGTACCCGTCCGTCAACATAGATAGCAGAATATTCGTGATTGGTTCAATTATAAGGAAAATTGTAGTTTTCAGGTCCCACATGGGTTGTGAAATTTACCTACTGTTGTCCATGCTCTTATAATATTACAGATCAGCTATATCCTATTGAAGGCTCGTAGTTTTGTTTTGAGAAATATTAGTTGTTCTTAGTAAATTATAATAAGCACTATAAATTATTACATAGAATAACAGTGCTTCACCAATCAATATTATATACCATAGTTTGGCTTTAAAAATCTTTAAAGAATGTTTTGTAGGAACGCTAACAGAAAACGATGTTACATTTGAATGTCTATGGGGTAAACTACTGCAAACAGGACGGTATTGTGTCTACTATACCAACTATAGCTAGGATGGGTATATTGTCACCTACCGCCTGTTAGGTGGGAAAGGGGTCCAATACCACCCACAGGATGGGTATGAGGGTCACATCCACCCACAGGATGAGTATGGGGATCACATCCACCCACAGGAAGGGTATGGGGTCCAATACCACCCACAGGATGAGTATGGCGTCCACTACAACCCACAGGATGGGTATGGGGCTCCAACCACCCATAGAATGGGTATGGGGCTCCAACCACAAATAAAATGGGTATAGGGTCCAATAACACCCACTGGATGTGTAAGGCGTCCATTGCCGCGCGTCGAGCTCGAAAACCGCAGCATTCATCTCAGAACCATGCCTATTTCACACAGATTCCTTAATAAACGTAAGAGTTTTATATGTCACAAGAAAGATAGAAATATAAGCTTCATTCTAAATACCTTACCATGGGCATATTTAAATTTAAAGCGAAGATACGTGTACTTTTATAATAGCCGAGCTTTAACCCCGGACAGATTGATCGACCGAGCAACTCTCTCTCAGAACAATGTTTATTTCACGTGAATTCGTTAATAAACATATATGTTTTATATGTCTCAAGAAAGGCAGACATATAAGCTTCACTTTAAACACTTTACCATAGACATATTTAAAGTTCTAATGAAGATACATGTATTTTAAAAATTACGGAGCTCCCACCCCGTACAGACTGAACGACAGAGCAACTCTCTCTCAGATCAATGTTTATTTCACGTAAATTCGTTAATAAACACAAATGTTTTATATGTCTTAAGCAAGATAGAAATAAGAGCTTCATTTTCAATACATTACAATAGACATATTTATAGCTCAAGTGAAGATACATATGTTTTTATAGTAGCGCTCAGTAGCTTGTCGGGCATGGAGTGCAGACGCCTACGCACTTGCCGATATATTGTATAATTATCAAAGATACGCTAATAAAGCCTAAAATCTTATATGCCTCCAGAAAGACCGAGATATGAACATTATTATGATTTCACCAAATGAAATATATCATGTTCGAGAACAAAGATATATCAATTTTAAATTAAGTTTCGACTCTTGCTCGGGCGAGAGAGAGGGAGCGACTCTCGCCCCATCTATTGGAGATTCTGTCCACTAAAGACCCAAAGCTACTCAAACCCTCCTAGCATTATTTAAGTAATGAAGTAATATGGTATATTTACTATAATGTGGGTGCTGAATGCAGAACATGAGAAAACATATATTTACTCCAAACTAATATAATTTCATTATGAAATAAGTAAATAAGTAGCATCAAAGGAAGTCGACGGTCCAAGCGTCAATGTTGTGGAGCGACTTATCCAAGATATATCGTTGTTTGGAAAGTGTTTGTTGGCATATCCAGTTGTCGCACTTCTCTGCACAAATTATCACAAATTTAAATTATAATGTTAACAAGTAGAATACGTATTTTTAATAAAATCTAACATAGCTAGCCAGAAAACATTTAACATTTATTAAAAAAATATATGTTTGGAAGTTAAATCGACTTCATAGGACAATAGTGTTGTTATATATACTCGTTATTCGTTGACATGCGTTCGCTACTTAAACTACCATGTACTGTACTTATGTGAAATCTCCCATGTCTCTTCGCTCATCTCACCGAACCCTACAGGCTCTGTGATATATTGTTTAATTAATTGAGATTCACAAATAAAGCTTATAATTGTATATGTTATCAAAAAGGCAGAGCTTATTTTAGTTCATTTATTATGCACCCCATACCCATCCTATGGGCGATAGTGGAGTGTTACAGAGGCGCATAATGGGCTCAGGGACTGAGCCCCACAATTCATATAGCCAAGGAAGTTATAATCTTGATAAGCTAGTTACAAAAGTCAATGCACATTGTCACATCAACAATGGGCTCGAGACCGACCACAAGTACAGTTTATAATTTAAGCAACTGACATATATGGAGGGCTAGTGTCACAATTGATATGTTTATCCTACACATAACCCCCTCTCCCCCATCCAATGGGCAGCGGTGGATAGGTTACAATCAAGTCGTTTTTTGCGTTTTATTCAGAGATTAGATCTTATTGGGTGAGGAAAGATATTCATATTTTAAAGAAGGCTTCTTGGCTGATGCTCTCCATTGATGGAAAATATACAACCTTTTGAAAATCAATGTTAGTTTGATCTAGATATTGTAATTAACGAAAGTATTTATGTCATCTGAAAGGTAGAAATATAGGCTACATCTAAAATCCTTTGTCATAAATATAACTGAAGTGAAAACGAAGATATATGCGTTTTGATAGTTACTTGATGGCTAGCTCTGAGAGTGTGAAGCCCTGCACACCAGCCAATAAATTGTATAATTAGTTTCCATATATTTTAATTAATCTTAAAAATCTATATGTCAGAAGAAAGGAAGATGTAGCCGTTAATGTGACAACATTTAAAAATATATATATCTTAAGTTAAATAAATAATATCACCTTATCGCCGGTGTCCGGACACATAAAAATTACCTAGGTATCAGTATCCAGCCAGGCGGGGATCACAGGCTGCACAATACTGATAAATTATGTAATGCACTACTTGTGGTCCATCTCGAACCCATTTATGATGTGACGACTTATAGTGAATTTTGTAACTAGCTCATCAAGATTGTAACTTGCTTAGCTAAATGATTTGTGGGGTTCGGTCCATTCATTTTCTTTCTTTATTATGCACCCCATAATACACATCCCGTGGGCGGTGGTGTAAAGGATTACAGAGGCACATAATCGGTTCAGGAACTGAACCCTCTAGTTCGTTTAGCTAAGCAAATAACAATCTTTTGACGCTAGTTACAAAATTATTAATGTACACATACTTATGCATACATGTACATATTCATACGTATACATATATACATACACATACATATTTAATCACCACCACAAATACACACATCAGTAATCTTTTGTGTCACAAGTGATTCAACAAGAGGCTCACAACAGTCACTATACAAGGCACTTTACATTTATGGTGAGTCGCACAGTTACTAGTCTTGCTGCACACCCACCCAACTGGGCGGCAGCTTTACAGTCATGTGCTCCACACCCACCCAACTGGGCGGCAGCTTTACAGTCATGTGCTCCACACCCACCCAACTGGGCGGCAGCTTTACAGTCATGTGCTCCACACCCACCCAACTGGGCGGCAGCTTTACAGTCATGTGCTCCACACCCACCCAACTGGGCGGCAGCTTTACAGTCATGTGCTCCACACCCACCCAACTGGGCGGCAGCTTTACAGTCATGTGCTCCACACCCACCCAACTGGGCGGCAGCTTTACAGTCATGTGCTCCACACCCACCCAACTGGGCGGCAGCTTTACAGTCATGTGCTCCACACCCACCCAACTGGG